CTTTTTTTAGAATGAACAGGTCTTACAAACCTCTCGACTCCAATAAACTCCTTACCTCAGTGTCAACTTTGTACAGCTCTTGAGGTTTAACTTTAGAAACTGTTCTGTCCACCCACTTAATGAACACACAGCCTTCTTCGTCTACAAGTGTAACCTGAAGTAACAAGAGACAATTCCATAGAAGTGAATACAACAAACGGATCGTACTGCGGGAAAAGTAAATGTAAACTAGGGTCAACCTCAAAGTTAAAGTGTGGGAGGCGCGGTGGCCTCATGGTTAGTGCGCTCGACTCTGGAGCGAGCGGTTCGGGTTCGAGCCCTGGCCGGGACATTGTGTTGTGTTCTCCGTGTCTGATCTAGAGCGCGCCATTGCGGGATTGGCGCAGTTCGATAGAAGATGTCCCCCAAATATTCGTCTCGTGGGTCATTTTGGCGTAGCAAACATCTGCGGCTACTGACTTTTAATTTTCCTTCGTTTCCTAAGTTTTTCGAAAACATTGTGTGATTTAAAGTTTCATAGAATTGAAATTATAAAACAGCGTACGTTTTACGAATGTTTACGACATGGACAAATAAAAATGGCTGCCAGAGGCTGAGGTAAGATTCCTGGGAACAAGTAGAATAATTCTGAAAGAGGGGTCAATTTATAAAAATGCACGTGCTCATTGCGAACCCCTTACTTTTCACGCTTGATTGATGAAACACGACGTGTCATTTCGGTGGTTTTCTATGTCGTTCTGTTATATTATTGTCACGTCAAAGCAGAAAAGAATATTATCATTCTTTGGTCGAGAAAACAAAAGAGAAGAACACNAGAATGATAATCCGAGAGTGTTCATTGTGTCGAAATTCAGACAATAATTGATGATGGTATAGTTCTTACCGAACTGTATAACTCCTAGTTTTACCAATTATTGTCTGAATTTCGACAAAATGAATATCCTCGGATTATCATTTATTCTTTAATTACAAAAGCTGAGTCATCCCCGTATGCCACGAAATTTGAACAGGCCTGTTGTGTTAGCTTTTCATGAGATCAAAAACTAAATGGCACTAAGAAAGAAGCGGACGTTGCGAAAGAAAAAAAAAGAAAGTAAGAAAAACGTCCATATACCCAGCTCAACACTGACCTCTTTTATCAGACACATAATCTCCGGGGAAAAACTCCAGTTCGTCCAAGTGAAACACAGGAATCAAATCCGTGGATAAAATTTTATCCTGGCTGGATCCATCCTGCCATATCACATCCACTGTGGTACATGTGTGGGCCACCTCCACACACACCTTATCACCAACATTCACTTTTAACGGAGGAGCTGCCTTTCGTTTTCTTCTCAAACGCTTTTTTCTCCGTTTAGTGGGATACCGTACAGGATGCGATGAACCCGAGTCATGTTTAAGCGCAGAAGCGACACTTGCTCCTTTAACCTTTGGTATGACAACTTCAACACCATCCGAGTCTTCATCCCCATCTGCAGAATCCGAACCAACGGTATGATGCTGATCGTCATGTACGTTTACCTGGCTAGTCCCAGCATTAACTGAGCCAGCTTCATTCACACTGGAAGTAGAAGAGTCTATTCTATTTGNTAATATTAAGCCCGTCATCAACACACAAAAATGAACTGATTTGACCTGTGAAGCTGGTCCTGAGTCACTGTAGCATCAGGTGGCTTGAGACTTTCATCTTCATCGACACAGTGTTGACACGCACCACAGACCTGCCAGTCTACATCACATGCTATAACGCTTGCCTGTCGCAATAAAACAAACTTACATTTGCTAAGGACACCCATCCATACTCTATAAGAAACAGAATGAGCGAAAAATTCTATAAAAAAGCACTCGTCCCCTTGTAAGTAGAGCAGTACTGTTGTTGTTTTTGTGTTCACCCACCTCCTCCACTGTTCCTTTTATCTGTGCTTGGTTATGAATGAGTGGTTTTACTCCTGATAACCATCGTGCTTCTTTGAACGCTCTGGCAGGACCAGCCACTTTCTGACCAGGATAAAACGATGCTGAATAGAATGGCGAATCCTACAAGATATAAAAAAGCAGATTTTACTATAGATCAAAACCAATCAAAGTGTCAGGGGTTTTATTTAACGTTTTCAGCAGGAGGGTAACTGATTTTCACAGCTGGGCAAAACTATTAGAATGGAACTTCTTTGTAAGAAAAACGTTCCACTCGATGGTCAAACCAGCCGGGCAAAATTGTCCTCACCGCCAGTCAATTTGCCCGGTGCCCGGCCCCTGAAGTGTACTGGAAAAAAGGGGTCTGCATGTACAAAATTTACTCACACAGGATCCAGATTCAATACTAAAATAACTACTGGAATCACCTCATCTCGTTGATCACTCAAGTCATACAACATAGAGGACTGTTCTCCTTCCAAGCTGCATCTGTATAAGTAAAGAAATATAAATTTTCTTTCAGTCATGTTTGGCATTTCATTTACTTATTAAATTGGTATCAACGTACTAACTATAAAGACAAAGACTAGAAAGAACTAGAAAGAAGCTTTGTGAAGTTCTGGGACAGCCTTTCTCATACTAAGGTATTTATTTGTCAAAATACTATTCCATTACAAGTACACAGTATCAGGGTCTTAGGTTTGATAAAGACATTTGGCCATCTCTAGTCACACTCCAAAAGTATAAGAAGTTGAGAATTAGAAAATAAGACATCTTATGAGAGCAGGCATGGCTGAGGTAAAAAGGAATGCCTGATACTGTAAGTTCTCTGCCAGCCAATGTCCCTCCCCACCCCTTCCAAATGAAGTACATCCATCCGTTGATGTAAAGATCAGCAATGTCATCTGAACCAATCAGAATTGACTACAGGCAATCACATTGTTGATGGGAATACAATGAACCAAGAAGTGTGCAATGAAAGTGTCAAGTGTCAATTATGTCAAGAAAAAATTGACATATTCTACTACACCTTGGCATACAATCATGAAAATACAGTCATGCACATGTAGGTCAAAACTACTTTACAGGGGCATGCGGTATTACTCATAAGTTGCTAAAAAAAAAAGTCTCTGTTGCAAGCCATAGAGTTGCATTTTGGTTTTTGTGTGGTGAACTGTCGTTGAATCGTTTGTTTTACATCAATGGTGATCTCAACACCACAAAACCACTGAAGGGTACTGGATCATCTTGTGTACTTATCGCTTTCTAGAGGAAGTGTAGATCATGATGTAATACATGTAAGTACCTGGAACCATTTTTGATCCTAAGTACAACTTTGCGATAAACCTCAGTAACTATTCCAAGCCAGGGACCCATGCTGACATGCACTCCTGGTATAAAATCCTGAAAGAAAAATTAACTCAGCATCAGTGTTGTGATTCAAGTTTGTTTTCCCTCCAACTTGTTTCAACCAGTTTTATTTTCACTTTACTTCGATGGCAACGAATATAAGGCACAGAAGAATTTTTTTCAAAAAAAAGCCAAATCACAATGTACCTGTAGTGGAGAAAGTCCTTTNGTTTAAAAACAATCTCAACAGATGCAGGAAATAACAATATATGTAGGCTCTTCTTAAGCTTATATTACGACAGAACTGACACATCGATCACACTCAACGAAGAAGGGGGTAGGTGTTGGTACTAAAAAACACACGATACCGTAAAAATATCAAGATCAAAACAGCTCAACTTCATTAAGGCAACAGATTTAAGGGGAAATCTTTTGGAAATACCTTAGAAAGCGAGAGAGTTTCTTCGTTGCCTGACGGGTACCAACAAACCACGATCTGTCCCTTTTTGAGCGCTTCTTCGTCACTTTCCGATTCGTCAGTAGTTTCTTCGGCATCTTCTAAAACCAGGCCTACAACTCCCTGGGAATTCTTGACAATATCCTCCGCGTAAATACCACTTTCCTCCGCCATGACTGTCCAACCGACTGAATAGGGTGCCAAGCCTGCAGCCTGGGTAGCCAGGCAAATAAACAGTTCCCAGTCTCTCTCTTCCTCAATTTAATCCCTATTGATCTGCACTATGCGCGTTTTAAAGTTGACATGTCACGTCGTGGTCATGACGCTAGGTCGCGTGAATTAACAACTCATTCACGTTTGCAGTGGACTAAGTGACTTCCCATAGTTGTCGCCAACGCGGTTCAACTGCTTTCTTATGTTCGAAAATAGGCTCTGACACTTTAATGACGCTTCTATTGCGTGCGATTTCCAATATTTCTTCCGCTCTCTTTTCGCGTGCGGCCTTAAGTGCGGAACCTTATAAATAGGACGAGGATTTACTTGACTTGTTAAGTGAATTCCGGAACGTACAAAAAGTGTACAAATACCAGCGATATTATGACCCAATCGATGCAATCAGCTTGATCAGGATACTCTTGTCGTGTAGTCGTATAACCTGTAGAGCAAGCATTTCTGCTGGGCGAGTTCTGGATCTTTTTTCTTTTGTTATTCTGCCCTTATTTTGGAGTCCCAGCAAGTAGAGGGTTGGTTAGGCCCCTATTTTTCACTCACGGAATCCATGCACGCTCGCTCACTCAAAAACTGTGCATATCCGTTCAAAAGTACGCTAGTATTGCAGAATAACCGAGTCCAAGAGAATAAGAGCCGGGTGATATCGACTGTAAAAATAATACTAAAAATAACTTTATTTCTGTGTCTAGTATTAAAACTACACCAAAGGAAAGAATCTTCCTACTAATTGGGGACATAGAAATAGAATAAATTGTAAGAAATACTATTTACATGATAATAGCAAAATACATGACAACAATTAAAGGAGAAAACTGTAAACACGATAAATGACATGAATTAAGAAAACACTGTGTATAAAATGATTGAAAATGTCATAGGCAGTAATTGCAGCTTTTATCTTTTTTAAAAAATCTAACTAGGTCACGTTTACGAATTTTTGCCTTGAATGAAGCGAAGGACTCTAAATGCAGCTAAACATTGAAGCTGTATTCGTAAGTTGTAATTAGTTTGTAAATTATCCGTAGATAAACCACACCAGATAATACATAAGACGGTGTTTCTTTCGCAGGTTGTGATGACTTATCTAAAAGTTCTCATTGATGCACGTAAAGCTCCTTTTTATTGTCAATTCAACGTCTAATAAAACCTAAATTCGGCGCGACTCAACCCATTATTGCCAGTTTTACTTGGAAACAATACAAACACGACGTGATAAAGACCAGGCGCCTCTTAAACGATTACAGACAATCAAAACTGACAGGAAATTGATGTTCTCTGTTTAAAGAAAATTCATATGCAATACTTGTTGCCCAATCAAAAACAACCCGAGATCTGAGGCAAGTGTTGTGTCACGGTTTGTTTTTCACCCTCAAGGAGGTGAGATTCTGATGAAAAAGAATCCCTTACGTTTATTTCGTGAAGATGTTACTGGGAAACAAAAGTTTTCTAGTTTTCAGTAGATCCATCGAAGTCCGCTTAGTTTACGTACCGAGCCACATTGTAGCATTCATTTGAATACGAACTTAACTATAAATATCTTTTAATTGCATGTGCACTTAAAGACCGATCAAAATGTTCACGTTAAGTCTGGGAAGAGTCAAAAAGTCGGCGCGTTAAAACACCATTTACGTGCTCATTTTAAAACTCATTAATTTGCGCACCCATGGGCGTTTGGAAAACTCCCCACAATAATAGTCACTGTTGCAAAAGGTAGCTTAATTTCATGCAATTAAAACTCGCCAACCACTAAAACAGGCCTGATAATTTAAGGCAACTTTCTGTCATTTCAAAGAACCGGTTGTAAAGGAGATTTTGCCCAACTGCTAATAACGATCCGTGCTTTGTCACGAAAGCACCATGTTTGAAGGGAAAATTTGATGGATTCGTTGAAATAGCAAGTGATGTCTACCTGAATGGCCTATCTTTAATGCAAAAGGTTGGTTAATCTTTTTACAACCTCTACTCTGTAATAAACACCACAGCGTTACTAGCCAGGAGCCATCGTGTCTTTACACTCAAGAGTTGTAGTTTACTTTTCATAATGATTTTAGATAGGTTTGAACAAATAAGGGGAAAGCTTCGCATTGCCGTATACTGTTTAGAGGACTCACGCGTTGAAATAACATATTCTTTCGTATTTGATCATAGTTTACTGTAAAGTAATATTTTTTCGGTGTCGGTAGATTTTATTACGCTTTGATCATTTGTATGAAATTTAACCAGGATAGCCAAACTCTACAGAACTTTCAACAACCACCCCTTTACCCATTTTGGCTATACGCACATTTATTACTTTCTGGTGATCCCCCCCCCCCTAGTAAATTATTATTTTTTGTAGCTTTTTTGCAGTTGCTTTTAAAATGTTTAGTATCTCATGACTTAAACACATTTAATGTCAAAATGTCACAGAATCTTGAAACATAGTGTACATGTACAAACATACACGTTTATTCAAATTCATAAACAAAAAAAACATATCATATACGTGTGAATTTGAAAAGTAAATTTCAAGTTCATCTCTACGTTAAAAAAAACTCCTCTGTTTTTAGAAAAAATTGGGAACGAAAAACGTGAGATGGTTAACGTTGGATTCCTGTCGCTACCATTAAATGCTATGGAAACTTACAAAATGTACAAACTGGCTACTTAAAACGTCAAAAAGGAATTAATATCAAAAGAATATAAATTGGCGCAAGTTGAGCACTTAAAATTACAGTAAAGCGCGATCGTGTTGAACAGCTGAAAGGATGTGCAATGGCTTCCACAGGCAAACGAGTTGAATTTACTGCAATGAATTGATGTTATCAGGTGTCAGGAAGACCAGAGAGGAAAAAGAGGGAGAGGAAAGGTAGTAAAATTAACTTAAATGTCATTTCATTTAAATGCATCTGGCATATTGTCAGTGATGAACCGAGGAACGGAATGAAAAAGCATTTAATCTATTTTGACGTAGGAACAAAACTGGACTGGAACTTTTGTTGCAAAGGGAACTGATCGTTATGGTAGTCCACCGGTAAGGCGGTTGAGGATTGGGGCGAGATCCGTGAAAAATTCGAGGCGCGATTCGCGATCGTGAACATAAATCGTTACTGAAAGAACCAGGATTGATTCGTGAAGCTATTATGTTCATTGTGACCCAGGAGGTACCAGTTTCTAAAGAACGTGAATCGTGATTTCAGAGTTAATGTGTATGGAAGATGTGAACAGATATTTCTGGGCGTGATTTGTCGAGTTACATTAAGACGTGCAATCATAAGTTGGCTCTAAAGTCGTGACGAATGCAATTCAAGTTGAATTATATTTTCTGGTATGCAAATATTACGTAAACTCAGTGGATTCGGGAACTTGAAAAAGACCGTACGATCAAAGTGTTCTACCTTGCTATTTATAAAGCGATTTATTTCCGTGAGACTATTTTGGACTTGAAATACATTTGGCGTGTCTGAAATGTATAAAAATTGAGTGTTGAGGCGATTCTTTGCAGAAAATGTATTCGTTTAATGCACAAAGTGCCTGGAGGGCAGCTAGAGAGGACCAAAGCATCCCACATACACATTGTTTTAGTTTTTCTAGCATTCGTAATTCACTTTTAATTTGTGTTCTAAATCCTTATATAATAAACTGAAAGCCAAGAGCGCGCGTACAAAGGACTTTTTTTTATCGCATGCATGTAGCAGAATTATGAGGGCATCCCAGGGGTCTTGGGGAACATGGGAACTTGAACAGTTATTGCAAGGAAACAAGAGATATTTTTGGATTAATTTGGAGGAAAAGGGATATATTTCTACTGTTAGCGAGAACTTTGGCGAAAAAGTCTAGGGAACAATTGAATTGTCAATGGGCCAGGAGCTGAGAAAAATGCAAAATTTTTAAGGGATCAGCCTCTGAGGGAAGTCTCCATGGGGTTGTGGCTTTTACGGCTAACGGTTAAATTTAAAGCATTTTTACACCTAACGGTTAAATTTTTGGCCCTTTTACGGCTAACGTTTAACTTTTTCCCGTTACGGTTAACTGAAATTTTAAATATAATAGTGAATTTCCATTGGTTTGGAGCATGGCAGAATCATGAAAAGTATATGGAACATTCTCGGTTGACGAAAAATGAAATTTATCGGGTCAAATACATATCTGTCCTGTGCTGCGGGACGTAGAAATTTCGAACTTTTTAATTTCTAAGAACGAAAGCAAGGAATTATATTTGCCTGTATGTGGTTAGGCTTTATAAACATGTTGTTCTTGTTGTTCTTTTGAAATAATTATTATTATGCTTCTTTTTACATTTTTGATGAGGCTTACCGTTCTTTTGAAAGAAGCAATATGTTTGTGATCTTCATCGATTTGAATCCTTGCTTTGTATCTTTCTATAAGCTTCTCCTCTCCTGTGCGATGGGTATATTAACATCTGCCTTTACCATAGCTATAGCTAGGCATGGATAGCAATGCCGCCACTCATAAATTAGAGAAACTGAATAACAAAGTCGGAAAATAGCGAGAGCTGTCAAAACGTTAAGGCGGCTTTCAAAGTGCGTGGTATGATCCATATCAAAGACACATCCGCGTTTCAGAATTAATTTAGAAGCGATACGTAAGTGGAGTTCTTTACAAGACATTTGAGACCTTTGATTTGCGCTAATATTCTTTTTACGGTTAACGGTTAAATTTTTGGCCCTTTTACGGTTCACGGTTAAACCCCATTGAGACTCTCCTGGAAAGCCCTCGATTATACAGATGTAAGGGACGGACCATTAGAAA